TAATATCTCTTTTGGAAGAGTTTGTGAAAATGATGACATTAGCAGCATAGGCAAGTTAAACCACCAAAGTATTAACTTGATGTATGTAAGATATGTGTTTATTCTTTCTTTAGAATTCATTGATTTTCTTAGAAAAATAATCAAATGTCTAAATGAAGATGGTGCAAGAAAGGGTTTCACCTTGTTTAATTCCCTTGAAACATTTAAAGTGACCATGTGATTGTCAATTAAATAGAATGGAGTAATAGTTCTCTCGAAGCCATCTTCCAATAAAAATGCCAAATTTTTTTAGAGAAACTCTAGCCAAGAGTACTAAAAGGATATATATTCAATCAATAGCTTCATAGCTTTTCTCAGATCCAATTTGAGAATTATATTTCTGCCTCAACATTTCTTGTTCAGATCTTCCATGAGTTCTTGTGCCAAAAGTATGATATCAACATTACTTCTTCCATTAGTATGAGCAGCTTGGTTGGATGAGATGAGTTGAGAAAAATGAGGTTGAATTTTGCTGACTAGGATCACTTTAATCACCATGGAGATGGCAATGGTTAAACTAATAGGTCTAATGTCTTCCCACCTCTCTTTAACACTACCTTTAGGAATTAGAGTAATTGTAAGAGCAGTAGAGTATTTAGGTGGATCTAGCACCCCCCCCCCCCCCCCCCCCCCCCTCTGAAATAGCTTGAATTGCCTCAATTACCTCCTTAGTAAAGCCCCAACCTATCTTATTAAAGTCTAGTATAAACCCATCAGAGCCAGTAGTCTTATTGATATCAATGTTATTCAAAGCTTCAAGCATTTCGAATTCATGATCAGATATATCGGTAAGAATGAGTTTTTGAGTATAATGCTTACAGTCTTCAAAAATATCCCAATCCACCTCATGGGGAGTGGTGGTATTTTTATTAAATAGGTTCTGAAAAATAATTAATGGTGCTAGTGGAAATCCATTCTTATGTGTGTAGCCTATTATCATCTTCCTGTTTAATTTTGAGTATTGCATCTTGCCTTCTCCTATGTTTTATGAAGGCTTAAAACTTTTTGGAATTCTTACCACCTACAATGAATTGAATATCAACAAATTTTTGTTTAAGAAAATATGCTTCCCATTTGATGGCTTCAACTAGATTTATTAAGGCAATTATAAGTAATTTTAGAGCCTCTTCATCAGTATCTATGTTGTTTCCCAACTTGCAAGCCTTTTCCTCAGCCCTTCTGCACCTTCATTTTAAGGGTCCCCAAAGATTTCTCAGCTTCACACTTTAATTGTTCTAGCAAGATTTTTATGTAGTCTCCATAAACTATGCCAAGCATTACATTTAATGTTTGCGTGACAAGCCCTTATGAGACAATTTAGGAAATTAGCATGGTTAGACCAAGTGTTAAGATATTTGAAAGATTGTTGGAAACCTTCTGTAATTCAACGATGAGGAAAAGTCAAGGGTTGTGATTAAAGCAAGTTCTAAATAGGTGTTTCACCTCAATAAAATGGAAAGTATTTTACCATTCCTGATTTACCATGTTCTGAAAATAACATGATTAACAGGTGTTGCGCCAGAAATTTAAGAGGTATCACAAGGTTTTGTTGGGGATTAGGTTGGGCTGTCTCTGATTGAACCAAGTTATCCTTATGATTATTCTCTGGTGTAGTTTGATCCTCCTCCTCATCGTCATTAAATACATTTTTTTGTCTGAAATTTTCTCAATTCTAGATGAGTAATATAACATCTATATAATAGATGTCCAAACATGCGACATTTGCTATAGTAATAAGGTTGTTGCTCAACAATCACTTGTTATCAATACTTATTATGTGTGGAACCAACCAAAATATCTTCACCAATAGGTTGAGTAATGTCCCTTTCAATTAAAATCTAGGCTGTAGAGAGTTTGAACAAAGTAAATGTGGGGTGATCTAGCCTTAGTGGCCTACTAAATAATTCACCAATTGAAAAAAGGGTGCTGAAGAGATGCAAGGTCAAGTGAAGGAACTTAAACCAAATAAGGATAGTAGTTGGCTTAGACTGGGGATCAAAGTCAAGGGACCACTGGAGGACTTTCATATATTTATTCTCATTAAAAGTAGCATTTCAAATAAATTGTTAGCATAATCTTCCTCTTTACAAAGGTGAATTATAACATGTCTACCATTAGAAAGGCCAACTTTCTATTCACTAATCAACTTCATTCCATAAAAAAATTTGCGAATCAGGTCCATCCTTGGATGGCCAAAGTGAAAATTTCAAACAAGGGTAGAGCATCATGGCTCTACGAGTTTTGTAGTTTCTTCCTCATATATGAAAAGAGCTAACTTGCCATTTTTTTGCCACCTTTGCACACATAGCCAGCCTCACCAAACTAACCCAGAGAGTCATGATAGCTTTGAGGGAATACTAGAGAAGAACTATCAAGCTCCAAGTTGTTGGCCACAATCTCAACAAAAGAGAGCTTCTGCATGTGAAGAGAAGCAATAGAACAACAACCCTATTAGAGCAAAAATCACATTTCCCTCCATCTTTTTTTTTATATATAAATATAAGTGACCCATAGTATGAACCCGAATAAATATTTTAACTTGTTAAAGAGAAATTTTCTAATTTAACTTTTTTCATGTTGTTACTACTTTGATCTGAAAGTTTGTAATGAGTTGTTTATCTCATAAAATTTGTTTTTTTTTGTTATATAAATTAAATTTCCATTTATATTGAAAAGAATAGCATTTTTTACATAATTTTTAGCCACATTAACAAAAGCTAGTTGAAGCTGATATGTAAAATAATATATATAATAAGCTAAGCATTTTTTATAGTCAAAGATTTCAATTCATTGTATTCACCATGTATATTGCGCTCCTCATTATTACTATAACCATGCAATCATGTATGTGATGCTTAATTTATGCTTACAAGACAAGCTTATATTGCTCTTCTAAGTGTCAGTGGAATCACAAAATCACCCAATAATACGTTGATTCTACTTTTAACATATTTCATTTAATGCCAACAATAAATGAATTATAATGAATAAACATTTACAAACTCACCCAATAAAAAGAAACATGAAACCACTTTGTGTTTGCTTTCATCTACAATCTTACCTATACATAAAAATACTCACCACCATTTACATGTTCATAGATACAAGTATTGTTATAACTTTTATAACCACCCTACAGAATAAAGCTCTTTCACATGTGAGAGAGTCGAATCACCACGGCATAAATGTTGGCAAAACTAATTCTATAATTTTCATAAATTAATTTTTATTGTAACCATAAACTTTGATAGCTAATAGTTGGTTAAGAGTTACTCGATAAATCTTAATAATATGTCAAGATACATCAAGGCTAAATCAAGTGTTAGCATGATCCAAGCCAAGTATCTAATTGCATTTGCATGCAGCTCGTTCTTTCCATGCAAATGTAGCACATTTTAACATCTCTTGAAGACAGCATCACATGTGGATTGTTTGATAAATGAACAAAAATCATGAAAGGTGTGATTGGTCCAATACTTATCCCCATCTTCATGCACTGGGCCAAAAACTATAAATCACTTTTTGTGGAAGACACTCCTGCAATACCTGAACTGGTTGACCAAAAAGGCAAAAAAAAGCCCATTTATGATCAGACAAAGCAGTACAATAGTTCCATTTTGATTCAATAAATCTATATATAATAATGCAGAGATAAAATATTCATGGTGGCCCAAATAGTGCACACTTTTACTTGCTTTCTAGTGAGATCTTCCAAAAAGACAAATCCTCTGAAGAATCCCGTTCGTTCTCCCATGCCCCACGAGCACCACCACATATAAATTAATCGGAAAGCATATGGAATTTGGCCTCTCTAGGCTTAGCCCAATGCCTCTTTTCTTCAGTGGGATGAATAAAACAAAGGGAGTAGGAGGAGAATGAGGAGAAAGAATATTTCCATATCGGGGGTTGGAACTCGGGATGGATTTGCAGACACTTTCACATTATTCCGCTGGTTTCAGGTGCTGAAGAAACCCCACCAAATCCAGCAAATGAGGCTGGTTTCCTCTGCTGGATTCACTTCTAATTTGTTCTTTGTTATGCTTCAAAGCACAGAAGATTAAATTTAATTATTAGTAGGGGCATTTTAAGGTTTGCGCATTTTTTAAAACAATGTCTGCTGGATTTGAGTTTTTTATACTAAACGAAGGTCATGGGTCGACCCCAGCGGTTGGCCGACGGGCTGCGTTTCAGGATAAGCTGTTTATCTTGAAACGCACAAACTACCCCGAACAGATCTTTCATCAGTTTAAGAATACTATTTTGTTATTTGAAATGATCAAATAACTTTATAAGACTATCGAAGTACTATAGGGATTATTTGCTCATGACCTGCATGTTATTTCATATAAAAGTTGAAATTTTCATTATAAAAAAACGCATTTTAATAGATATATACTAGATCTATATATATATAGATTTAGTAATTTCTATCGAATTACTTATTTATAGGTGAGATGTATTATTCTAAATATACTAAATTGACAAAGAAAATTTTGAATTGGATGAACATTAAAATATAAAATTTATATTTATATATAAAGCATAATTAGTCTAGTATTTGAGTGTTCTAATCCAGCATAATATGAATTTTGTATTCATGGCCTAACACATTTGGGTATATATATATATATATTAAATGAAATTAAATGAATGATCAGAGCCTCATAATATGAATTTTGTATTCATGGCCTAACACATTTGGGTATATATATATATATATTAAATGAATGATCAGAGCCTATTATACGAGCTTCAAGCCGCCCCTAATGTGCCCTAACAATTCGATTTCCACCTTAAAGTCAACTATCTCAAAAGAGATTCAAACCCCCGACTTGAGGGGACTTATACCGCGGATGCCAACCAACATATATATATATATATATATAATCTCCAATAACATTTAGATTCAGAACATTTCATCGTAACAGAACTTTCATAGAACAAAAATAACTGGTGATAATTTAGCAACAATATAAAAGGTCTAATATCGGCTACGAAATTAACATTTGGCATCAGTTTACATCGTAAACCACCGGACTCCTAAAACGCTGCTATCTTTTCATGACAAAATGCATTCCTATGCCAAATGCAAATTATTATATGCTAATGCAAATCTTTTAGGTAACTAAAGTTGATCCCCCCTCGTACAAAAAAAGAAAAATTTACATGCAAGCCTTCTGGGGACAAGGATTTCATTGGGGACATATTGTTCTGCTACATTAATTCCGCCGAATCGCACAATTTCCTCAAAACATGGCCAACGACGAGGAAGAAAGCTCTTCAAAGATCGTATGGACACTCAAGAGAGAGAGAAGCAATGAATTGAAGTCATGAGAATGGTTTTTAAAATCTCATGACTCAGCTCTCTTTTTCTGCCACTAAACAATGGCGATGACAGATTCCCAATCATCATTTCCCTTCCAAAGGAAACACCCATCATTGCCTTCCCCACAATGATGCTTTCAGCTTAGAAACTAGAGCTCTCCGCCTCCCTCACTCCCTCCCCTCCTCTCCCTTCTTTAAATTCTCCTTCCACCCCAATCCCCTGCTCACCAAAGCCTTCGTCTTTATTTGCTTTGTTCTATGAAGCCTTCTTCGAGCTCCGTCAATGGGTTCTACTCCTTACTGGCGCATGGACTCGACGACCTCGAGCGCTGCTTCTCGGCTCAGCAGTTCATGTCGCTACAGTTCCTGCAGCGTGCCATGGCGCTGCTCCGCTCGCTGCACTCTCACCTAACCCATCTCGTCCATAAGCTCCACCTCCCCTGCGGCGACAAATGGCTTGACGAATACATGGACGAAAGCTCCCGCCTTTGGGAAGCTTCACTCGTCCTCAAGCTCGGACTCTCCAGCATGGAGTCCTATTGTGCTGCTGCATCCAGCATCATCTCATCCCTCGACAACTGGCTTCTCTCCCCTTCTCCACACCTCACCCGCCAGGTATCCCATTTCTCTCTTCTTTGTTCGTTATCCCATACTCTTACCTCCCTGTTCATAGGTGATGCGGGCGATGTCAAGCTCTAGGAGGGAGGCCGCCGGATTAGAGGAAGAAAATCGTGTGCTTGTGGAGAACAGAGTGCGCCCGTTGGCTCTCCAACTAAACGAGAGGGTTCTTTCGTTGGAATCCAAGCTCCACGGCTTCAACGGATTCAGAGGAGTTCTCTACGCCATGAGGAACGTGAGCTCCTTCATCCTCATCATTCTTCTTTGGGGCTCTGTTTCCTACTGGTCGGACCCGAGCTCCGGTTACCGCTGCACGCCAGTCGAAAGCACGCATTTTTACGGCTCCGGGTTCATGGTTTCTTTGGGGAGGCTGCAGCAGCGGTTGCTAGGTGCAATGGAGGGAATGGATGACCGAACCGGGATTCTGATGCACGAGCTCCGGCAGTGGAGGGCGGCGACAGAGGAGCTCTGGGAGGAGATGGAGAGGGCTGGAGGTTTGATGAACTGTTGTGTTCTGGATGGAGTGGCAGGCAGGCCAAATTGGGAGAGAGTGGAGAGGCTCAAGGATTCCTTTCGGTTGCTGACGTGCGGAACAGAGAACCTTGTGAATCAGCTAGATGACTTATTCGATGAGATTGCTGAAGGGAGGAAGAAGCTCTTGGATCTGTGCAGCCACAGATAGAGATTTCGGAAGAGAACTTGATACGTTGGTGGTGAAACAGATCAAAGCTCCCGACTTTAGAGATTATCATGCATAGGTTTACTAAATGAAGAATTCTGTAGCCTCAATTTGCGTTGAATAAAAATTGCTTTTTGATTACAAAGGTGGAGAGATGAGATGTGCACTGTGCCCTGCTATTATTATATTGTTGCAGTAGGATGGGTTGGCATGAAAGGGATAGGAAGCAGCGGTCCGCTCTCTTTGGTGCAAGAACCTTCTGGGAGTAGATGGTAAAGTAGGCTTTTGTTTGTCTCAGGAAAGACAAAATCGAAGCTTTTTTTTTTTGTTTCTCTTTTTTAGAATTGGTGACCGAGGCAAGACAAATTTGAGGGAAAAATTGCTGTAACTTTTTTTTCCCCCTACCTTCAGTGGTTTCTTACTTGCTTCTTTCCATTTCATTAATGGTTTTTTGTTGCAGAGAAAGGTCAAAGCCATCGAATAGAGCTCTGAAAAAAAAAAAAATCTTGTTTCTTACAAAAATTATGAGACATGTGGGAGAAAGGGACTGTGTTGCTCATATTGTAGCATTGAGATTTTGTGATCTAATGCCTGAACTTTGTCCACAATGATGAAAAAGCTTCTGAAAGTTTAACTTGATGGTACAGTCTCATCATTTTGTGTTAAAAGAATTTAAAAGATGAGTGTTTAATAGTTTTTTTTTTTTTTGGAGAAATTGAAGGGCTACACTACACTAATTTCGAAGGGTGACATTCACTGAAAATCAATATAAAACATTAAAAAACTTTTAGTCTTAAGTTATAATCTGAAAACATGAAAATACATTATAAAGTATGACATACACATAATTGAACACAAAAAAATTGAAAAAAAATGTAGCAAAGAGTTCGAGCTCAAGTAATCCTTGCGCTAGGGTTGTAAAGAGGACTTCATCTTGGTTTTGAGATAAATAACAAGGTAGTGTGCACAATGTGTTCTAAAACACAACATTGGTATGAGGATCGATCAAACGAAGTAGAAAAAAAATTAAGCATACGATAATCATAATGATGTGTATATTTAGTATCACATAAAAATGTTAGAATATCAATGACAATGACCACTAAATATGATAGGTTTTTATAACGTTTCATTCATTGAAATTTAGTAGCAATCAAATGATACAAATATAACTAAGAATAAAAATATTAAAAGCACAAGTTATTGTTATTATGTTAAATGTTGGTTAAATCTCAATTAATTGTAGAATATCATCATAGATTATAAAAATTAAAAGCAATGAGACTAACAATGTAAAAAATGATGCCAATATTAAGATCATAAGTATCCATTTAGTGTGAAGAGTGTGGAATACGCCATCCAATTCTATTTGGATGTAGAATGAATTAGAGCATAATAGTTCTGTAATCATATAGTTCGCTAGGGTTGAAAATATCCCTACCTAGGCAAAGAAGTCATCCAACATAATAGTGAGTGATATACAATGGATTAATATTATCGAAAAATTTCAAAATAGTGTGCAACAACCCTAAGAATTCTCGATATCATTTTGAGTTCCATGATATGTTGGATATCAATAATACTTACAAAGAGTAAAACAAAGAGACAGCTATATATAAAATTATGCCTATGATAAGAAACACATTTGACTTACAAAATCATAATTCTAGTGTGCAAATAAAAAGCAAACAGAACAAGTGCAGTAACTTCATTGACTCTAACGGTCACCTATGTCCCTGACATAACATAAATGAGTTTAATAGCACTTGACTTTGCCTTGCCCTACCGCTTTGGTGCCAGTACAGAATTTGCAGTGGCACATTAATTAGGTTCATGCTTTCATCTTCTAATGAGTAAAAATTAAATCATTAGTGTGCGCAATTTGGCCCAGTCAATGCCCAACATTTTGATATTGCTTTCTCGATGTTATGGCATCGTAAACATTCTAAATAAAGATCAATTGTGAACAAATTTTTACATGTTCCTTGATATAAATCTCGCAAACGACCTCATCCATCTATGCTTCCTTTTTGAAAGAACAAAAGAGGATGGTTCCAAGGGAATCTAGAGGAAATTGCTCGACATTCTGCATATATAATGCTCAATATTTTGTTAGTGTAAAAACGTAGAAAATCTATAAGGATGCTCTTAAAGTCATAATTTTATTATATAATGTGGGTATTCTAGTCCAAAAGGTTTGGTAAAGCAAATGATTATAAGCCGATGTTGGGCTCAATTCATTTTCGAGCCCAACTCAGCGGTAGTTGTTGTGGCCCTTGAATTCATAGCAACACTCATGAACACATGTATCGTCAGACTTATGTAAGGGGAAAGTGGATCCCCCTCGATTGCTCCACCATCAACTTGGCATACGACCTAATCAGATACGTTGTTGATGAGTACACCTAAATCATGGATAATGAGCCCAACTTTGACGCTATTTTGTGTTATTAAACACATGTGAACTCCCAGGTTCCATCAAAGGAAAGAGAAAGAAAATTTATTAATTTTCCTGCTAAGCTTGGAATCTATTCATCTTTGTCTGGACCTTATTAAACTCACACAAAAGAGATGTGACCAGGGAGCATGTAATGCTAAATTATGTGATCAAGAAAGAGATTACGATCGATGTTAGCCCAATTGTTGTAAGATCCATCCTCTACTTGGCTTATGTCATCACAATCATAAGGATATGTCATTGAGTGTTGATCTACGTGATTTGTAAGAGAGTCGGTGTCAAAATATGGGAGAAGTGAATCTCCCATAAGGGAGCTATAACAAAAGAAATTACCCAATCCTTCAAAAGAGCTCTAGGGATATGGTCCCCTTCACTCCTCTTGCAGCGCCTTTCTGCTCCCACTCCTAGCCCAGCTGATCAAGGAGCTCCAAGGAAGTATCTACCCTCAGTCACCAAGTCATGCACTCGGAGCATCAGCACAACCAACAGTTTCCCTGACAAGCTCAATGACTGGCATGCCCAAGTATTTGGGCAATACTTTGGTGGGAACCTTCTTACTTGGCTCGATTCTCCTATGTACACAATATTTTTAGAGGTCGGTCTATGCAACATGATAGGTAGCAACGACGACATTGTATATGATGATATGGGAGCAAATTACTAGGCTCCCCACATTTTTTTTTTCATCATGCTTTCTTTGTGTTCCGTAGAGGGTTTATTGTAATCGTGGTTCTAATGAACATTTGATCTTTAATGAAACCTAGTAACTTGAAGTCAATTTTGCTATAAATTTCTTATGAATGAATGAATCACATATTCCAATATGATCATGGCTAAGCTTCCTAATTAAAATGTTTAATAAAACTTAAGATTTCTGGACGGGTACGGTGGTGCTAATAAGCAATGCCTAGGTGTCATAGTCCTAAAGTCATATCTTGGAGGAACATAAGAGATGGGCCTCTCAAAATTTAACTTTAGGATCGCGATTCAACCTTATGGAGTCATAACACCCACTCTCGGTGACTCAGCACCAAAGCTCGACACTTTGATGCTAGGATTACCCCTTTGATGCTACCACAACATGAAGGTAGGCATTGTAGTGCTATCAAAAATTATTGGCATTGTTTTGGACCATGTTTCCATGGGGCAGAGCCTCAGTGTTGCATGAGCACGCTGCAGCTTGACACATGGCACCTCAAAGTTAACATTTTGGACCTGAGAGTGACGGTTGATTGGAAAACCTACAATTATGTTGGTTGGTGTGCTACCTGCTACATCAACAATGTCGTAGTGCTCAGTACTGAAGTCGCGATGCTACACTGTCCCACCTGACATCTGTTAGCAAATCGTGGCATGATCATATCATGTCAGCTGACACAACGTTCTCCACATCAGCAACACCACAATGCCAATGATCAACATTATTAACCTCACTTTTTGTTGAAGTTTAGTCTTTCTTCCTTAGGAGCCTAGGATTTAGCCATAGGACTTTCTTGTTGACTATCCTAGAAGACCAGTGACAGAGCCCTCACCATTAGAATTTTCAATTGCTTCTTTGTTCTTCTTGTAGCAGTTAATAGGATGAAACTAATATAAGGAAGCTTAAGAGGGGTCCCCTATAGGACTGTCTGACCTTAGGCTTGACCCTAGAAGATGTGGCTTTATCTAGTACACACACTCTTGCACTTCATACTTCCACTTGAAACCTTTAATCCTAACCTGCACATGTCTAGTTTGGTTCCCTTGCCTCTTTGGAGACTCAGGTGGGTGATCCCCCAAACCCTTAGTCTTTGGCTAGCGCGGATAAGACCAGCATATCGAGGATCCAAAGTGGGTTTTCTCTGGTCTCATGGCACCATGAGGGTAACTCTATGATCAACATTTCCATTAAACCTCAACTCTACCCCAAATTTCAAATTTTGGCCTTTTAGCCCTAAACTTTCCCAAAATTATTAAATTGCCCCTAGAACCCTAAAATTTCAAGGTTGACCCAAATCCCTCAATTTTATTCAAAAATCATTTCAAACCATTCCATACCATCCAAATTACTCAAAACACTCCAAAATTTTCATATTTACCAAAATACCCCCAAATTTGTCAAAATTACCAAAATGCCCATGGTGGCACAAAATTCCCCAAAATCTCCAAAACCAATTCTTGACCATCCATTGGGTCTAATTTGACCAAATTGACTCATTTTGACCAAAATCCCAATTTTTTCCTTTAAGGCCTAATTACCCTAAATCACTTCCAATTTCCACCAATTTGACTCCAATCTTCCCCAATTTCAATTCTAAACTCAAATCCATCATGTCATAACCCAATTGAAACCAAATTCAAGACTAATTGAACCCAATTCCAAACTCCAAATCCAAATTCAAGTGAATTGCCTCAAATTGATCCAAAATCCATCCAAAATCCAAATCCAAAATCCCTCAAATTGAACTTGATAACCAATTCAATACTCCAATTTCAAATTCACATCAAATTTCAGCATATCTAAATTCAATTTCAACCAATTCCAATTCAATTTGATTAGTCCATGACTAATTTCAAAATTAAAATCATACCCATCATGCATGTTAAAGGCCCATGCCCATGTGCATTTTGAAAAGCCCATGAGGTCAACTTTGAAAGCCCGACTTGAGCCCATATGGCAAAGATCAATTTTTCATCATCCCATGGCATTTTAATCATTTCACCATGCCATCATACCAAATTTTCCCATACATACATGTCTCGTTATCCAAATTAAGCATCATGGCATGATTTTTTCAAAATTCATAAAAATTAAAATTGTCATTCGCATAAAACTTTCCCATGGCCTCATACACATCATGGCATGGCTCATGAAGCCTTTCATAGCCATCTCAAAGTCAATTTTGCCATATTT